GTGGGTTGGGATATTTAGCTTCTGTAGTTAAGGAACACTATAGTGATGAGGCCCAGAGGCATAACAAGCTCCCAGTACGGTTAATAGGAGATCAGGCCATTGCCTTGGCAAACTTCTCTTACAGGTTCATTGATAGCCTCAAAATTGTAGGAGTCCCCCCCAGCACAGAAACTAAAAATATTAGTCTTGGGCAAAATTGCCCAGTTTCTTAGAAATGCTGGTGCTTTATTCAACAAAATTGAAATTTGTGCTGTTGACCTTGGTCAGCTTAAGGAATTTTGCACTTTATATTTTAACCTGTATGTATTATTTTTTGAAATGGATGTAAATGTTACGGTTTGTTCAGTAGGATATGCCATACCATATCACGCAGCTAATTTGTATGAAAATTATAAAGTAGGTTATGGAATTATATCACTACAGGCAAAAGAGGCAAAGCACTCAGGGATAAAAAATGACTTGGACCTGACAAACAGATCTAATGCTGCATCTGATAAAGGTAAATGGTGGCAGGTTATGAGGGCTAACTATGTAAGAGCATTTTATTTGCCGGAACATCAGCCAATGCCAAATTCTTACATTTCTCATTACAAGTCTTGCCTTCCTTCTCACATAAACTCTGAAATATTTTGCAACTGTGGAAGGGCTGAAGAAATGAGTGACGACACATGTCTGGTATGTGTAGATGCCAGGGTGATTGTGGAATGTGCAGAAAAAGAGAAACTTCTACTGGAAGTAGTTGAAATGTTGAAACCTGTTTTGTGCTCTGAGTGCAATGAAAGATTTCCAGATACTGTAAGTTGTCAAGCTCATCAAAGGATGCATTCAAGAGAGAGACAGTCTAACACAAACAACCCTGATAGCCGCAACTTGCACCCTAAAACTATGAAAGTAAGTGACCTCAAAAAGGAGCTGCAAAGTAGGCAATTAAGCACCACTGGAAACAAAGAAATTCTTACTAGACGCCTTGAAGGTGCATTAACAAAGGAGGTAAATTAGGACTTTTTACTTCTTGTATTGCGAGAAAGCTCCATAAGCACAGATGGAAAGGTTAATTTGCCTCACAGAAAATGTATCAACAATCAGTAATATTATTGTGTCATCATTAACTTGGTCTTTTACAAATTACGGTACATCATACTGCCAGTTGCAAAAACTCACATGGCATTATTATTAATAAGTACTTATTACGGAGCCATCTTGCAATACAATAAGAATAAAATGTAACTTTATTACTCAATACATAATTAATATATTTCATATCAGAACATGTTGTAATATATATAAAATATTGTACACAGTATACTCGTAAATGTACATTTTACATTAGTCTTATTTTCAATATTATAACGGTATTTGTAATTATATTTGCACCTAAATTATTCAAAAATAAAAATGAAAAATTCATGTCAAATAATTAAAAAGTGTACATCACAACCTGCCAAGAGTTTGAATAAATGACTCAATGATTCATGAGGTTTTGCAACGTCGAGTCAATCACAAAATCGTCTGCCGTATACCGCTGAATATAGAAAGTCACTATAACTTTCTGGCTCTTAAGGTTAAAATCAAAAATAAAAGGAGTATTAGTGCTAACAACCACAGCTGACCTGCCTTTATACGAAAATTCCTCTTTTCCTTTCGAACCTGGTTTTCTGGTGAAATGTCTCTTTCTCAGAACATCTTGTCCCTCAAACCGAGCCAGAGAAAACACCTTTTCGACCGATTCCATGCTGGAAAGTGTGGAAATAATTTTTGATTTGTTTACTTCCAATTTTACCTCCCCACCATAACCTCGGAATAATATGGTTATGTGGCGAAATATCGGCCAAGGAATGAACAAAATTACGGGGCTTGCCAGCGATGTTGCCTTGGAATGTGACAACTTGGTGGAGATCTGCTTTCCGATTTCAAACAGATAGCTGTCCACCAAAGGACCAGACAGCTCCAGTTTGTTGCCACAAACCTCTTCCAGTCCACCGTTCATGTTCCCCATGCCATAGTTTGGTCATCCTCTGGCCCGTCTGACTGCCTTTATCCACTCACGCTCAAACGAAAACTTCATTTCTACTTCATTATTATTCCAAAATTTTTTCCCCCTCTCTGTGAGCTCTGTTTGGCCTTTCAAATCGAATACTATATCACTTATATTGGCCGCCATTTTGTTTTAATTTTTGTCTTTTACACTCAACCATGGTAGTTACAGCTGACAATTATGAGCCCGCGCTTCCGGGAGGAAAACGCATAGCAACGAGCCACCGTGATAGGCATATCATAGACCTGTTAAGTTTAGCGATATTTGTATTTTAAATTACTTCACTTCCTCGCTGCGCTCACTCTTGAAATATTTCAAATCACCGCGCGGCCATGAAATATCCCCTATTTATTTTTTTCTACAACTGATATAACAAAGAGCATATTAAATGCGATTTATTACAGTTTTACTCTTGAACTTAATCATCTTTCAGGTCCCTACAAGGCGGATACCATTGCTGTTCTTCCTGTGGGAACGTCAAACGCATATTTTAAGAGAAACGAAAAAACCTACAATGTGTTAGGTAAATCATGTAATTCAAGACTTAGCTATGAGTCCGTCTACCGTCATCAATAAGGAGTCCTTTAGTTTGCCTTCCGCGGACATCGAGACCGAGACCAACTTCCCGCCTTGACGCTTTCAGTCAATTTTAGATAGTTTTCAGTGGTAGGGTTTTAGTTAATTTTCAGAGAATTTCTAAATCTGTAAAGTGCCGTTGAACCACTGGGAAACATTGCTATATAAGTGCATCATTATTATCATCATCGTGATCATCATTATTATTTAACTTTCAGTTGGGGCGCTTGTATAACGACGTCTCAGATTGCGCTTACAACAGATCAAACAGATGGTGTCACTTTAGTTCATTCGTAACAGTTTTCTTGATAATAGGAATTCTATACTGTTATAAAGGTCTATAAAATGTTTGGCAGCT